ATAAATCACAACAAAATTCTAAATCAAAAAAAAGTGGGGAATATAAATTACAACCTTTGAGAAAACGGAAACATGAAGAACTGGTAAGTCAAAGTGACGATGAACTTTCTAATGAAGAATATCCGCCACCTACCCTAACGAACTGGGAGGATGAGGTTGATGAAGTTGAGACTGTAGAACGAAACAATAAGGATCACAGTCTCTTGGTATATTTGAACTGGTAATTAATATTAAAAATCAGAAAGATTAAAATACATTTATAATTTTGGAATATTATTTAACTATGAATTTTCATTAAATCTATTTTTAAAGGAAAAGTGGTCACAGAACAGTGCATCCAGCGTCAGAAGCCAACATTAAATGTCAGTTGATCCTTCATTATCATTTCATTTATTCTACATTCAATTAAATTGATGAGATGTTAATTTAGATTATTCGTTTTTACGAGACCCATTTGAGATTTAAGAACGCATGAGCACAATTTCGCCATCATTTCAGGATTCTTTCGATTATCATTAATATGAACTCGAGTTACTCCGCATAAAATCATTATTACATTGTTATTTGAATAAATAAAATTTCTCTTATAGTTGATTAATATTTAGAATTACCCACTGAGAGTATCTATATAATTATCATAATGTGTATTTTATAATTACAACAGTATATTTATTTATTCAAAATAAAATGAACAGCTCTATATAAAGTTTTGGAATTCATATCTGTTCAAAAGAATGATACGTCTTGCTAAATAATACTGTACCATTTGATTTATCACGTTAATCATCTTTGGGAGCAGATTCATTTGTTGAGAGGGGCTGTACTTTGCGTCGTAAGTTTCGATTCTTTTTTTCTGATTGCGAATCTGTGGAACTGGATTCAGTCCCTTCAGCAAAGGTAGCTTCTAATAGACGAAGACGGAGTCTACTGATGATTTCATCTATGGTTAACTCGATCTGACAGTGATTCTTAATAATAGAGATTTCTACCAAGAATTAAGAATAATATGTGAAACAAATAATAATGGTGCTCAAAAGAATATAAGGATACTGAGCCACGTGGCCCGTTCGCCTCTTAAGATAGCCTGTTGAAGCAATTCTGGGGTTGGATTGGAAAGGATTTTAAGAAAATCAGCATAGGAAGTATTAGGGACAATGGTGATGTCTCCATAATATTCTTGCGACATAATAGCTCGAATCCGATCCATTAAACCTGGCATAATTCCAAACTCGCTTAACTATATTGAAATGTTGGAATGTTAAGACAAGAATATTAACAATTTATCATAGTAATAATGTTCAGACCTGACTTAACCTATGTCGCAATTCAGAAGTCGCCAAATTCAAAAGCCCTCCAACAAATCGACTGATTGGTGAAGGAATTATTTTCGTTTCAAGAAAAGGAACAACATGAGGATTTACTACATACAAGCAAAAGTTTGCAGAGATCAGTTAAATTAAAATGATTGTTTACGGATCTGTTGAAGTGAATGAGCTTTGCAAAATACCTTGACAAACAATAAAGTGATTTACATTAAAAAGCTCTGATAGCTTCTTCATAGGCAAATCACTAGGTGTTCATGAACATCCAGTGCATTAAGTGAGATCTTGACAATATATATAAATATATATAACAATGTTTACTCACTATTGGACAGATCCATCAATCCAACGGTGTCCTAATTATGCGAATCAGGATAAGTTAAGGACTCATTCGAAAATTTACCAAACAGTATAGGAAACGAATACCTGAAGGAGTCCACTGAACGATTTCGCCTGCCTTGTTCTTAGCCATTAAAGGCGATGAACTATAGACGAATGGCACAGAACAGGATGCAGCACTGGGAGTTTAAAACATTATAAGAACGATAGCTTTCATACAGACATCAATTTGAAGGAAAGCACTTACACTGCAGACCAAATCAACTTGGAAAAAATTTTATTGTTATATAATGGGTGTTGACGTTTATATCAACATCATCAAAACTATATCAACTTACCACGTCCGGGGCCGTTAAGTAATTAAGTAGGTGAGGCATCTCAAAAGCGGTAGAAGAGCTAACAGTGATGTTTAAAATTCTTCGCGTGCGATTGTGTGCCTCCTTGTAGTTGTAACATTTATCTTTAATTTAGGATGCATTAAATGAATCATCATGAGGCATTAAATAAATAAATATATATCACAAGACCAACCTGAAAAGTCATGTTTGGAATATTTCGTTGCATGCATTCTCTCAAAATATCCACATCAAAAAGTACACCTTAAAAATTAATATATTATGTTTATATGTGTGTATATTTTGATCACATAACATTTACTAATGATCGAAGTTTGTACCTTGCTTCAAAAATCTGCAAAATCTCGTATACCATGTGTCTGGATTTGAGGACTTCTCGAAGACCTCCTAAGATTTATAACAAGAATAAGTTTTTCTCGGCATCATAGTAAAATTTGCGAAAGCTTTCTCACCAAATCGAATCCCCCCGAATTCATCGCTCTCAACGTATCGGGAATCTCATCGTCTGTTTTCGTGCACAAGAGGGCAGCAATGATAGATCCACTTGAAGTACCAGAAATTATTCGAGGTAAAAGTTTACATTCATAGAGGCATTTAATAACTCCAATATGCGCAAGTCCTGATAGATAAACAAAATTGTAAATACAAATAAATAATTGCATTACACATCTCGAATATCATATCTCACCAAAGGTAGCCCCTCCGCTCAATAATAGAGCTGTTCTTCCAAACGATTGTCTTGTGTTGATGAAAAAATCAAGTTTATCTTTAATAGATATTTCTTCTGATTCCCTGTCACAAATGATATTCATTTGTTTTACTACTTCATTAATATAATTTTCTATCAATTTTTTGGTTCCAATGTGTGTATATGCGTATAGCTAACATAATAGGAAATATAGCATATATTAGTAATTCATAAATCAAGAAAATAGACGGATCCTAATGTACCTTACGCTGACCCATATCACCTAAATTTCTGGATAATGATGTTCTTAACAAAAAAATCATTTGCGAAAGGTCGCCCGACTTACGAGCTTTTTTTAGCTGGGCCAAACGTTTCAGTAGTAAATCATAATCGTAGTCTGGAGAAACCACGTCATTTTTCCATTGATCATTTCCTTAATTTAAATAAACGAAAGATCTAATTAGCTTTCTTTTTAACCAGCTTCGATTCAAGTTCCAGAGAATTCAAATATACCTTGTAGCTGATCTAAAATGTTTGCTGCTTCAGACCATTGTTCATAATTACTTGCAACTTCTAGTAAATGTTTGTAGATAATTTGTGGATCTCGAGTGGATAAAACTGTGTCGTAAAGTTTCTTATAAAATTATATTAAAAATGTAAGATGCAAGATAATTCCTGAGAATGCACGAAACTAAAATGCGTTCAAATACCCCTGCCCAGTAAGAGGTCACATCGAAGGCTACTGAATTGGCACCTGATACTAGTGAAGATAGTGTTGATGCTCGATTAAAATCTTGATCTTCATTTAAAGATTGTTCGCTTTCTTGAGAGTCCTGTACAAGGAACCCCACGGGATCACTTTGTAACGCTAAATTATTCCGAGGCGTCATTTGAATTATAGACAAGTGGACACTTTAATTCGGGCATTTTATTTTTGGATGTCACCTGATTCGACTTGTATCTATTAAACTTAAAAAATGTATTATTTAAAATAATTTATATTATTAGATTAATAATCTTTTGAAAACTTTTTTTTAAAAAAAAAACTTATAAATGTTTTGTTACAAAAAACATTTTTTTTTTCAAGTACAAAGGTGCCAGTAATATATGATCTTTTATTAAGTAATTTATATTCAATTATATAATTACAAGATTTATCCAAGTTAACCTGTGTTATAGCCTTATTCAGTTATATAAGTTTATTACTGCTAGAGTGGGCTAGAGTTCCTAATGATACCATATACTACTACATACAATACCCCCCAAATACTACTCCCTTACTAATAATACCAAATAGTATTTAAGAAAATTGTTACTTAATAATTGATTACTACCTGGATATATTAATATAATAATAAATAAGATAATAATATTTTGAATTTTATAGTAATGATATATTCTGACACTAATACTACCATTCTTCTAATAAAATACCTTCCAAGTATTAATTAATTTATTAAGGAGTAAATTAATTAATACCTAGGATATTGTATATAGTAATATACAATATTATTTTGGTATCAAGTTAATACTAAATTTACTATAAGTTTAATATAATAGGTCATAACTTATATATTAAAATTATTATATTGTAAATTAATATTAAGTTGATACTATTTCAATACTTAGTTTGAAACTTTAAAATAAACTTATATTATTTTCAAAGGTAAATTAAAAATTTTTCAGTATAATTCTAAAATTTATATTATATATATATTGTTTAAAAGCTAAATCCAAAAAAATTATATCTAGCATTTTTATCATTTTTAAAAATAATTACTTATATTTAAATAAAATTTTCAAAAAATAGAAATGCTATTATTAACTCTCTCCTGATCGCGTCCGTTTTGTTAAAAATTTTCCTTTTATGGTAATTTTAAGCAAGAAAAAATATTTTACTCTCTTTATCGCAAGTGA